CTCATTGTACTCAGAACTTGTACTAGTACAAATGACAATAAACCTTTAGAATCCTTTGTTGAATACTTTAAATGTTCTCCAGAGATAGATGCTTTTTTACTTAACTCCCAGTCTGAAAGCCCCATATCCTTGTTCAGGTACACAAACACATCTAATGCCAACATGAATAAATGCACCTGATTCCTGATTAACATAATGCAAGGGTTCAGGCTAAGATCTTATCTTAGCTCACCTTGTGCCGGATACCCGGCAGGGTGTCCACCAACTTCTGCAAACCTTGGTGTATTTGTCCAACCTGGGAAAAGATCAGGAGCTTAAACTCTGTCCATGGAAAGCCTTGTCTGCCAAGCTGTCCATCTGCTAAGAGTGTGTCCATGTGGCATGTCACCCTCCCTGTCCCTCGCATCGCCTGACATGGTGTAGGTGTGACATGTTTGCAGGTCAGGCCTGCACCTTCAGAAAGACTCCAATTACAGCCAGTCCATTGTCCTCTGTTACTGCGTCCTTGAAAAGACTGAACTTATCAGAGTTCCAGTGGACAAGGTGTAGCTGCAGGCAGACAGAGAATAAGAAAAGTAACAATGAGACAGGCAGACAGGGAGATGGCAGCAGAAAAGGCTGGCTGCTTTCATGCCTTCATGATACCAGTACTTACAGTTCAGGATCCTGCTCTCCTCCCAGTTATCCTGCTTTAGTAATTTGACACCAGACAGGATGCAGAATTTGAATCCTTTGAAACCAGGATTATATATTTCACTGTATTCAGTTGAAAAAGATCAAACTCAGAGGCTTGGGTGCAGGGACACACTTTGTGGTCTGCTGGTGCTTTTAAGGCAGCTGCTCTATAATTACTAACAGCGCAGATTCCTACAGAAATAGCTCCAACTCAGAAGAGTCACATGATTTAACCCATTTCCACCCACGCTCGTTTACTTTACTGTACATCCAAGTTCCTGTGATCCGCCCTGGACATCAGGGCCAGTAGACCAGCAGGGGGCACTCACGCACACACGAACACACTCGTTTCACGCAAACACACAGTCCTCTTATGAACACGCACTCTTTCCCCATACCTCAGCTGGGTACAGGTACCGATCCACACTGTGCTCTGAGCCCCAGGCGTTGTTCTCCCCCCAGTGAAAGTGAAACTGACAGAGGCGGTATTGATCCGAAAGCGGCCCGCCGCTGAGAGCTAGACACACATATTAAGGCGTACAAAAAACATACATCACTCAATCAGTCGGAAAAACGGTGCACTAAGAACACAATGACAAACACGCACCAACTACAGATATGTAAGAAATACAGATATGTGCACATATCCGTCTGAAACTCAGATTAACAGAAAACGAACGAATACGATTTAAGACAAAGTCTTACTTGACATGTCAGTGGTGTCATCGTACTCCACAAGG